GGCCGCACAGAGAGGGGGATCCCCGGGGGGCATCCACAGTCATCCACATTGAACTGGGGGCTGTGAGCTAGGACTTACAAGTTGATACCTGATAGTTATTGAAAGTGTCCTACCAATTTGACTTGAAACTGTCTCATTGCTATTTGTTTCTCAATAAAATATGAGAGAGAAAAAAAAGATGATGCCTGGTGGGTAGGCGGGATGAATGACCACAGGACTGTGTGTGTATTTCCTGCCTAGGAATGTTGCCCAGCCCACAAGTTAGGCAGGCACCCTCCCTCCCCACTCCTCCTAGGAAACTCCCTTCAGCTTTTGATGAGTCCCAAGTGAAAAGGGGACAAAGGGAAGGGGTCATAGGGCTGGTTGAGGGCTTCCTTGGAGTAGTCATAGCTGTGGCAGCAGAGTCCCACAGCCCAGGGCCTGCGATTAGTGCTAAGAACCATTTGGCAGGTTGCCCAGCAGCCTCACTCAGGTCTCATCTCCAGCAGCCTGCCTGGGCTTTCTTCCCTTTAAAAATTGATATGTTTAAATCATGTCTTAAATTGGGTGACTGGCAGGTAAACAAATCCTAGGTCTTTTCTTCTAGTGAGGTCTTAGTTCCCTGTGTATCCTCCTGCCTTTGAGAAACCACTCAATGCCTGGCTTCCATCAGAGGAGGTATCCCTGGGGACCCAGAAGCTGGGCCGAGGGGACTATAGAGGGAATATTAACCTGCAGACATGTGGTGATGGCAACTGTGCTGCACTGTGGGACTGGGGCCAAGTGTGAGCCAGCACTGCCTAGCAGAGCAAAATGAGGGCAGACCGGCAGGGACAGCCTGGGCTGGTGGGCTGCTGTCATGGCTGGTGGCTGCCTCATGGGGCAGGAAGGGCATCAGCACAGGCTTAGAGGAAAGGAACTAGCTTTGTGAGAATGAAGTTATTATTTCTTATGAATCTAGGGTTACGAATAAGGATTTGGTGTTTGCTTTGAATATTGTTTTAAAGCTAAGCACTTCCCACTTATTTCTCCTAAATCACCCAGAAATACCAAGAAGAATGAAAAATAAAATGACAAACTTTTGTTTTGGCAAAACTGAAATAAAGCTAAACCCAAGCCTCAAGCAGGAGGCCAAGTGCCCACAGTGGAGGAGCCATACATAATCCAGGGCCACAGCAAAGAGCTCCGAGAGGGAGCTGGCAGCATGAAACCCCCCTCAAGGCTGGGAGCCCTCATGGGATGTGGTCCTGATGCCCATTTTGCAGCTTTGAGGCAAGGACGTGCAGAGGGGCTATGTGAGGGGTCCAAGCATACCTGTGCTTGAAGCAAGAAGGGCAGTTGTCACAATGAGAGAGCCCCTCACCCAGAGGGAAGTGGTGGCACTGATTGAACTTACCACAGAACCATGGGGTTATGACAGAAAGAAAATGGCCCTACCCATCTCCAGTGCAGCTTCATTGCAAAGCTGGGTCTGATGAAAGTCACTTTCCGCGATGAGCAGTGAAGGTCATATTGTTTAAGTTTATGAGATGAAAGGAGAGAAATGGGAAAAACAGGATAGAAAAGCTCAGGGAAAAAGAACTTGACCTCAAGTAGATGAAGATGCAGCCACTCATTTTAGAGGTTAGCAATCCTGTCAGTTCCAAAGCTAGAGTAAAGTGTGATGTCCAGATAGAGGAGAAGGTGCGGCCAGAGTGTCCTCAGGCAGGGCATGGGACAAGAGTGAGTAGGAAGGTGGATGGGAGGAGCACACAGAGGGACTGATTACAAAGCCGAGAAAGAGCCAGCTGCCTACTGGAAGATTCAGTGAAGGTGAAAGGTAGAAAACACTAAGAATGTAAATATTTTGTGTTCTGGTAGATTTATATATTTAATAAAAAGTGTTGAGAAAGAGAATGAAGAAGCAAAACAAAGAATGAGTTTCTCCCCATCAGTAGCTAAAGATGAAAACATTCCCTACTGAGATAGCATCAAGTAGTAAGAGTGCATTTAACTGTGTTTTAGGCTTTCCCACAGGACCATAAACCAATGGGATCTGTCTGTCTAGAGAGATTGATCATATGAGATGGGCTCTTGTGACCATGGAGGCTGAGAGTCCCACTGTTGGATTTAGTGTCATGGGGGCTGGGCATCCCTCAGTGTGCGCCTGCCAGTGGGAGACCTAGAAGAGCCAGTGCTGAGGTTCAGCTGGAGGCTGACAGCCTATGGAATGGGGAAGCTGATGGTGGATCCCAGCACACGGTGGGGGAGGATGAGCTGTGAGATGTCCTAGCACAAGCAGTGAGGAGGGAAGAAGGAATCCCTCTGCCTTCTTTATTCTGTTCAGCCCTGGCAAGATGGATGCTGCCACCCATGCTGGAAAGGGCAGTCTCCTGATTCTAATGCTGATCCACACTCAGATACCTCTCTCATATGAGTACTTCTGGCCTACCCAAGTGACTTGTGGAGTTAACCAGCACAAGCTATATAAAAATAAACCTTGAAGAGGGTGAAATATCTGACTAGACACTCAACAGGACATATCGTCAGTACAGCTTACAAGGAAAGTATGAGCACAAAGCTTATAGTTACAAAAGCAACCAGTACAAAAAGCGTACACACTGTTCTAAATATTAAGAGAATTATACCTAAACCAGTAAGCAGGATCAAAATGCTACAGAATGATAATGTTAAAAGCTATCAAAGATAAAACAATATAATAGAAATAATCACATCAAAATATAAATGAGCTAAACTCCCCTACTAGAAGAAGACTTTCTAGGCAAGTTGGAATTTGTTTCCACAGAGGCTGCCTGGCAGTAGTAAACACAGAAGCAGGAGGTCTGAGTTTGCACCATAAAGTGTTGTGGAAAAATGGACTGGCACATCTCAGCGCTGGGGGTACAGATCTCTGTGGGAGAGGACAGCACTGCCACCCAGGAAGCATAGAAAACTGAAAGCCTGGGGGAGATCTGACCTCCCAGGACTATGGTGTGATAAAATTTGAAATCAAGAACAGAACTAGAAAAAGAAAAAGTTCCTAGTTTGGAAATTTGAAAACAAACAGAACAAACCATTCTGCCTTTAATTTTGGTTGATAGAAATGTAGCTCAAAAAAGTACATAAAATCTGAGAACTAGTCAGAGTGAAAGCACTTATCAGAGCTGCAGAAACATTTGAGGTCATGGCTTTAGTACCATGAAACAATACATGGACTCACCTCCAGCAGCAAGAGTGAGAGACTGAGTAAAAGAAACCTCAGAAAGACAAGAGTTAGGGCTGTGTGAAGGTCAAACAGAGGCTGATAGAGAAGAGCAGGGCAAAAGTAGAAATAATAAATGAGTCCACATGGCTGTTGTTGGAAACGAAGCAAATAAAATGAAGAATTATTCACAAATCTGGCAAAAAATTGATAGCATCACCACCCAAAAGAAGAAGTAGGACTGATTACCTTGGCATTGTGACTGGTGTGGGCATGCGTAAGAGCTTTTGTGAGCTAAGGATTTTGTATGTGACTGGGCAGGGCTGCACAGGCATGTTGTGCATCTCTGCTGTGTGTCATGTAAGGTAAATGACAAAAAGTGAATCCTAAAAAATATTATTTCTACAAGTCTCCTGTGGGAAAAAAATATGGATTATTATATCACAGCTCCCTTTAAATAAACACAGACATCCAAAATAGATTGCATTTTCCTAGAAAGTTGTTCATCAGTACTGACTCCAGAAGAAATAGAAATTCTAAACAGGCTGCTGAGGTAGCATGAAGTTGTCACAAAGCAATCATTGCTGTCGTGCACCTCTCTTCCTAAGAAAGCAGTGGGAGTGCATCAAGAAAGCCCACCTATGGGCTGCAGCTGTCAGGATGCAGTTGCGTGAGTGGGCCTAGGAATGGTTCGGACCACAGAGGAAGGAAGGAGCCTGTGGGGGTGAGTGATGTGTCTATGCCAGACTGCAGAGATTCCACAAGCCTCTGTGTGTGTGTGTGTGTGTGTGTGTGTGTGTACACACCACGCACACATACCTTAGAAGAACCATGGCCAGGGCCAATGTGCTAAGAATAAAAGCCAGTGGCAACTTAAAATAAAGCATCCTACTCTGTCCTGTGCTGCTGTACAGCCCGCGGCTATTGCTCAGTGGCATAAGCATCTGCCTGGCAAGTGCAAGGTCCTGAGTTCGATCCTTGGTACCAGCAAAAAGAAAAAAAAAAAAAAATTGTGCTGCTGAACAGTACTTGATGCTGGGTGATTTATGATGAACATGGAATTATATGGCTCACAGCTCTGGCGCCTAAAATGTCCAAGATTGAAGGACTACATCCAGCAAGGAAGTTGGGAGGGTAGGGGGCTCCGATGACTGGCCTGGGGCTGTGACACTGATCTGGACACCCTGGTGAGGCTTCAGTGGTCCTTCCAGGTGCTGGCCTTGGAGTCACTGAGTTCTTAGTCTGCATTTAGTTGGGGAGAGGACCTGTTGGTGCCCAAGAACCCAGGTTGGCCCCAGGTGAGTATCTGCTGGCACTCAGGCAGCCCCTGGCCAGTGATCTGTATGCCTGGGCCTGCTCCTGTGCCCTGATCCTCTGCAGCCTGTGTCTGTCTGGCTCCCAGGTGTGCAGAGCAGCTGCCATCCACCTTCTGGGCAAGGCAGGTGGCTCAGGCCATTCTATGGAGGAATCTGAAGTAGCAAAATAAATAAAATACTGTGATTGCTCAATCAAAGGCATGGTAAATTTAGAACATTCTTTCCAGCTGCTGTGTCCCTCTTTGCCCCAGAGAATTCAATATTTCCCCTCAGCAGTACCAAGAGTGGTTGTATCTTAATGGCTAATCTGCAGGCAGAAGCATTGAAGAGGAGAAAGGGCTATACTTGTACAATTTGGTGTACCTATAGCTCAGTGGCTTTAGGTTCTGGGGTTCCTAGGCAAATGGTTACTCTGCCCCCGATGCCCAACACAAAGTGGAGGTACTGTCGTCAAGGTACATTGGGCCATGGGCACTTGGCAGGCTTGTGCAGCACTACGCTACTGACTGCTCTTTTTCTCACAGCTGGAGATGGAGCTGAAGATGCTAAAGTCTCAGCCGAATTCTGCCGAGCCAAGCTTCCCATTCTGCAGAGAGGAGGTGGACACACTCAGGTTGGTCCCGTCCTAGGGGTTGCCAGCTGCCCAGGTGTCATCCCCCCACAGTTGGAGTCTGCTCTAGTCCCTGACCCTGTTTCTCCTGAGAGCATCTGTGTCTCTGTCTCATTCGGTCCACTTCATTTCCTCTCTGCAGAGACTAGTCTCTGTTGGGATAGGCCTTTCTAGTGTTCCTTCCATGGCCAGCACTGACAGCCAGGCTCTGAGCAACCCTGTACTCAGGAGCAAGAAGATACTTCTATCAGGGTGTCTGGGGGACAGTCTGTGCTGCCAGCTTAATGAACTGGCCTGTCACCTGCATGCCAGCTCCAGGGGCAGCATAGCCAGTAGTGTGTTGAGTGACACAGACTAACATATTTCAGAGAGTGAGTCACAGAAGCAGCAGCTGGACCAGACATGCTTCACACATGTCCACCAGGACTCTCATCCATATTACAAGAGGAGCTAAAGATGTTGTTAGCTGTGGTTCTTCCCGGAGCTTCTTATTTTCCTTCTCCCCTTAGTGAAAAAGGGTCCTAAATTAGGAAGACATCCTGGAGCCAGAAGTGCAGGGCTCTGAGCAACAGCCCCTCCTAACTCTTTGAGCCATTTTGGCCCTACAAATTCAGTTTCTAATTGGAGTGTCTGTGGGTGCATTGAGGACAGCTTAGGACAAAGAATGAGTATGGTAGAGTGGCTGCCTGCCCCTCCTCTGAGCATCTGCCATGGGCCAGGCACTGGACATCCTAGGCTTTCTGTGGTGAGAGGAAATGGGCCTGGGGACCCCAGCAGCCCTGGTAGGTACTTAGTGGCCTCTTGGTGAGGAGGCATGGACTGCTACGTGGGAGCAGTCCTCCCTGGACAAGGCTGCTGTGCTCCCACTAGACCAGCACAAGTCCTGGGTGTGTTGCTAGAATGGCCTCAGCTAGGTCTCTCTCCCGGGACTCCATTTATCCAGTAAAGGCTAGAGGACCCCTGCTTTGCAGGGTTGCTGAGAGTAAAACCAAGGAAAGATGTCTGATGCCTCCAGTCCAGCTGGAGCAGAGGTGCTGGGGAACAACAGCTATGCTCCTTTCTAGAGCTGAGGCCTCCCCTCATTTTCAAGGCATTTTTGCATTTCATGTGCCAGTATCTTATAACTAGCTCTTCAGGGATACATGGGTTTTGAGGTTGTTTTGCATTGGTCCCATCATGGGTTTACTTTGCTGCATGAGCTGTGAGCACTGTTGGGTACTGTGTTAGAGGTATAAAATGGTGAGCAGTGATGTACAGTCTGTCTTCAACAGTTTTAGAGTTTAATTAGGACTTGGGTGAGGTGGCATCATTCACAGGGACTGTGGCTCTATAATTGTGGGTGAAAAGAACACAGTGGCGCTGTGACTGTGGTGTTGAGGACAGAGATCCCTCTGAATAGGCACCTCCGTGCCACCCTGTCTTGGCCAGTGGGTGCAGGAGGAGAGGCTGCTGCAAAAGCAGGGAGCTGGAGGCCAGGACTGGCTCAGTGAGGGACTGGCATTTATTCCACTGGTCATGCAAAGCCATTAGGAGTTTTAAAATAGAGGAGCAACACAATTTGATGTATTGCAGTGCCGGGCAATGATCTTGGCAAGGATGGGCCACTGTCCTCCAGCCAAGTGCTGGGCAGGCACTTCAAGCTCAGGAGCTGTTCCTGGGCAGAGTAAAACACACCTCACACACATCTGCTGACTCATGGAGCAGCCCCTGTCTGCTAAAGACCCTTACCATAGAAAAGGGTAGGTAAAGTTCAGGGCAGGAGTTGGTTGAATGAGCCTAGAGGTGCAACATGCAAGGAACTCCAGACAGGTTTGGAGCATGTGGTTAAGGATGGCAAGGATAGCTGTGCTTCCCATCTGTGGGCTCTCACAGATACCTGTGTCTGCTGCACGAGGAGGAGCCAGGGTTAGGAAGTGCCACCCTGGGAGATGACAGCAAAAGGCAGGTGGTGGAAAAGAGGACTGGACCACTGCCTACAGGTGGAGGAACAGAATGGTAAATGTTTTACCAGCATTATGTCAGGGCATTAGCTGAAGCTGCAGAACAGGATGTTGTGCCCCAGGTCCCAGCACTCCTCTTGGACAGGTGTTCCCTTCTCCCTTGGGCCTCTCAGTACCTGTGGCTTTCATCCCATGGCTGAGGGAAGTGTGCTGTGGCATGTGTGGGATCTGGGCAGGATGGCACACTTCGGATTTTTTCTAAGACTATGAAAGGACCTTCTTCCTACATCTTTCATACCAAGAGCAGAAACTCAGCTGTGAAGGGACAGGCCTCTGTAGCTATTACCAAAATACAGTCAGCATGTACTAGAGGCTCTGCTACAATGGAGCGGCCACTCTAGCTCTGTGAGCACTTTGTCCTCCAGCTGAGGAGACCTGAGGGTGATGTAGGCTCTCACAGATACCATCATTCCATACTCCTGGGGACTTGCAGTGTGTGATAGAGACCCTAGCGAGCAGGGCCCATCCGCCAGGACAGACACATACATGGTAGATAATGGGCTGTATCATAAAGTACCTGCTCACATAGTCCCCAAGGTAAGGGAGGCTCAGCATGGACCAGTATGAAATAGAGCTGCTGCCCAGCCAGGGTGTCCCCCACCTGCCCTCCATGTGCCCCTTTGCAACTTTCAAGACCTGTCTGTTTTATAGGTGGCCTGCCTGTTGCAGGTATAGCTTCTGGTCCTCCCATCCCTTTCTTGCCAGCACCGCCCTGCTGGGTCCCATCTGTCCCACATCCCCAGCACAGTATACTAATGGCAGACACACAAGTGTAAGTTATGACACATGCCTTCGTTTCCCATCATGTCACAGGATGGGTTCAGTGCATGAGGAAGACATGTTGGTATTTGTTGTTTGCTGTCCTCTTAGAGACAAGGGGTCACCGTGTTTACTTCTGGGCCACAATCCATGCTCATAAGAGGCCACCTTTTGGCTTGAGAGTGGTCAGGATAGGGCTCTAGCCAGCTTGAAACCCACCAAGGAGCCCCCTGACTCCAGAGGTAGCTGTTCCAGCCTACCATCCTACCAGGGACATTGGCTGTGTCGGGGCTTTGGGGTTGTCTTTCTCTACAGCTATGAAAGGGTGGGAGAGCTAGAAAGGCTGCTGTCTGTGAAGGAATGGCCCTCCTCTAGTTCCTCCTGAATGAATATGAAGTGAGCTTGCTGTGGGCCCTTGCTGCAGGGTGGTTTCTGAAGCAGTTGGCTCACAGGAAGACCAGGAGGTGCTCGCCCAGGATCATGATTAGTCATGGAGGAGCAGGGCAGCAGGGAATGGTAGATGGGTGCCAGGCAGATGGAGATGGCTTACAGACCTAGAAGCACTTGCTACCTGTGGGAAAGTGGACAGATGTGTGTTGTGAGGTGTAAGCTGTGTATATCCAGCATATCACAGCATCCTTCCAGCATGGAACAGTGGAAGCCTCAGTGCAGATTTAAGTGGCAGCAGCTAAAGCCCTTTCAGCTGGAACAAATCTGGGTTCGTTATTTTCTGCTGTCAAATAGCAGCTCTGGCAAATCCTAAATGTTGTCTGTGGATTTAGCAACTGGGTAGACTTTCAGTAATTCCAGCAGCTCACATGTCTGTGCCAATGCCTGTTAGTCACACTTCGGATCCTGCTCCTTTCTTAGCCATGTCGTTGCCTGCTGGGTCCTATGAATGTGCAGGTCAGGCCCCAGCCTTCATATGCAGGCCCAGGCTCTGGGGACACTGGTGGTGCTGGCCCACCTTGGCAGGCACCAGGGTACCCTGAGCCCCACCTTATGCATGCTCTTGGAAGTACATACTAGGGTTGGGCCCTGAGCAACTGGCTGGAAGTCCATTATCTGTTTTGTTACTGTGGCATATCTGAGAGATCCAAGCTGGGCCACTTTTCTTGGAAGCCCTCCAGATTAGCATCTTTTTCTTTTGGCCTGGTACACTTTTGTATACCTGGGCCTGTCATGCATGATACTGTGCCACTGGCTCCTTAGTTGAGCTGGGCCATCGCTGGAAGCTCAGTATCACAGTGGGACCTTAACACCAACCCCAAGTGGGTAATGTTGCCCTGCCTTGTCTGAGGTCTTATCCCCTGCCCAGGAGCCCCTTGCTTTCTCTCAAGAGAAGGAGCATCTAGTATTCTGCAGAGATATGAGGTCTTCTACACCTAGCTAGTCACTGTGCAGCCCTTTTCCTCCCAGATCCTCCCCTGCCCTCCAGACCTGGACAGACACAGCAGGCCTATAAGAGAGGGAAGTGGCCTTCTGCGGACCCCAGGACTGAGGACAAGAAGTCCTTTGCCGCTCACGCATCCAGGAGGAGCCCTCAAGACTGCACTTTAAGAACCAGCCACAGGGCCAGGGAGATGGCTCAGTGGAAAAAAGCGCTTCCTTGGCAAGTGGAAGGGCCTGAGTTCAATCCCTGCTTAAAAAAAAAAAAAAAAGCCACAGACACAGAAGTCTCTAATAAAAGCTGGATGTAAGACAGAAGCAACCTAAGTACAAGGAAACCTTTGTGATTGTGTCCACCTGACCAGGGGAATGAGATGCCCTCCACCCTGCCCACAGAGGGATATAGGCAGCAGCACACATAGTCCCTACCTATGCCCATGTGGCAGGGCCAGAGCCAGCTGTGGTCCCTGCTCAGCTGAGGTGGGTGCTGCTCTGAATGTCCTGCTATAGTGAGGTCAGGTGCTGAGTAGGGAGCAGAGCCTCCACCACACCCTCATCAGAAAGGCAGAGCAGGACAGTAAGGTAGGGAAGGAACCAGTGTCAGAAGCTTCCCGCCTCAGGCATGAGGCCATGGGCCATGGCTCTGGTTTCTCCACCTCTGATATAAGCCAGACACAGAGGGGAGCTGAGCTCATGCCCACCTGTCTGCAGGGACTCCACATTGCTTGGATGTGTCCAGTGCATTTTTGCCCCAATCTAGCCTGGTTACATGGAAATGTACTAGGCACTCAAACCTCAGAACACAGAGCAGGAGCAGCTGGGTGGAGACATGGGCAGACCCACACCTGTGCCCAG